TCCCCAGCCAGCATGGCTGGCTGGGGAATTCTGGGAGTTGAAGTCCGCGCATCTTAAAGTGGCCAAGGTTGGAAAACTCTGCTTTAGAATGACACGCCAACTTCCTCTGGCCCAAACTGCCTCTCAGATCAGAGCAGATGTGCCCACATCAGCAACAGCAATGAAAATCAGTTGTGGGCCAGGCTGTGAACGCTTGGGAGTTTTCCACAAACATTTTCTTCTCCTTCTGACCATTTCATCTTGAACCGTAGTTGCAGTCTGAGCATTACTGATAAAGAGTTTCCTAATCAGGCTCTGAGTAATTCTTCTCCTTGTGGTTTATTGCTCTTAAATAATATCAAGCTCTCATTTTCCTTTAGGTGTTTTTCCCCCACCAGTCGCTTCCATCTTATTCACCCACTGGTAAGAGTTTCAGAATTCTTTGGGCGTTTCTTTCTCCCCACCAGCGTACTTTTGCTCATTCGCCGTCTTCGGTTCAGCTTCAACTTTCCCATTTCTCTCTTTTGCGAGAAGGTCAAGTGTATTCTGATTCAGACTTTGTCACCCCTTCGCTGCCCCTGATGGATGACAGCGCCGTCTACTCTGGGTGGCTGACTCAACCGTCCCCGGCCACCCTGCAACCTTTGACGCCGTGGGCTGCTTCCCCCGACTACGTGTCTCATGAAACGGTCAGCTGTCCTTACACGACGGACATGTTCGTTCAGCCGGTCTGCCCCAGCTATACCCTCGTGGGGACGTCATCAGTGCTGACCTATACCTCCCAGCCACTGATCACAAACTTTGCGGTGAGTTTGGTACGGTGCCATCCCTGTGATAGTTGGCCTCTTTTCCACTAATGCCATGGGGTGGGATATTGTGATGGAATGGACTTATGAAGGCCAGGCTCAGGGAGATAAGCGTGTTCTTAGCCCCCAGCAGGAGCGTGGGAGGTTCAAGAAGATGAGGCTGGCACCTCCCTAAGGAATTCACGGTGTTGTGACTGGCTGGCTTGGGAACTGGGGTTCAGTCTGGGGAGATTTCTGCCTTGAGGCTGAAGCTAATAA